GGCGCCCCCGAGGCGCGACATGCCGGCATGAATCTCCCGCGGCGATGGGGGCTGCTGGATATTGCGCGCAGCGGTGCCATATGTCGGAGGGTCGCGCGCGCTGAACCGTCCATTCCGTTGCAATTCAAGGCCCGCAGGACGGACATTAGAGATGCCAGGGGTGAGACCGCCCGATAAAGACTTGAGCCTCTGTTGGTCACCCCAGACGCCTGGCGGCTTCGGGGTCCCATCTCGAGTTTGAACGCCTCTGCGCTGGCCTTTGCACTGCTTGCGCCATTGCCACCGTCCCGTGTTTTTTGCACACCCTCATGCGGTGCACTTCCACTTGGTTTCTTGATGGTGCGAATCAGTGGCCCATGTGGGCCAGGCATCCCAAGAACGGCCATTGCGCCCGATCGGCGGAGGACGCAAACCTGGAGGTGTTGGTCGCGCGGGGTGTTGTTCCGACAGGAGTTCACGGAAAGCTTGCTGATTGGCGTTGGAGCCCTGGGCCGAAGCTGCGGGGGTTTCGGCCCCCTTAGAGTTCGATCGGGTTCTAAACGAGAGTCCTCCTCCTCCTCTCTCCCCCTCCCCCTCCCTCCTCCTCCTCGTTCTCCTCCTCGGCCTCCATGCTTTTCCTTGTAAATACCTCTTCCCTGTCGCACCCTGAGGCCAGTCGCCATTTATGATTATGAGGCTTACCGTTTGCAACAGGTTCACGGATTGAGGGCGGGTCGTTTTCAACATGTTGTTTTCGCCTTAACGCCGCGCCTCAGCATCCGTTTTCTGATCCGCAAGAGCTTCACGGATTGAGGACAGGTCGCTTTGAACATGTGGTTCACGCGATAGCGCCGCGCACATTCGCCACAACAAATCGCAGGAGCTTCACGGATTGAGGACAGGTCGTTTTCATGATGTGGTTCTCGCTTCAGCACCGCGCACGTCCGCCAGCAAAAAGTTGCAAGATATTCATGGATGGAGGGCGGATGGCTTTGAACCTGCTGTTCTCACATTAGCGCCTTGCGCGCTCGTCATACAGAGTTGTTATATGTTCAAGGATTGAGGGTGTTTCTGGTTCAACATGTGGCTCTCGCCTTAGCGCCGCGCCCATTCGTTTTAGGACTCTACAACAGCTTGAAGGGTTCCCACGGCTAAAGTCCCAGATTTGGTGTTTTGGCACGACGTCGGACTGCCAAGGCGCAACATGCACGTTGAATCGTAGTGTTCTGGCACAATCCAAGATCGCCAGTACGCAACATAACGGTGATTCGTGGCGTTGAAAACCAGGAACGGTGTTCTGGCACAGCTCAGGACCCCCAGACGGTTGTTGTCCAATGGGGCACTTCCTTTCAGTGAAACTGAATCTTTCCACATTTCCCATGAAGAGAGAGCTTGGGGTGAGGGTTGATTGCAGCATCGTTAATGAGTCTTGGGTTTGCACTGGTCCTCCTCCTCCTCCTCCCCGTCCTATTCCTCCTCCTCCTCTTCCTCATTCCTCTCCTCCCCCTCCTCCTCCTCCTCCTCCTCCTCCTCGTCCTCCGCCTCCTCCTCCTCGTCCTCCTCCTCCTCCTCCTCCTCCTCCTCCCACCTCTTCCTCCTTCCCCTCCTTCCTCCGCCTCCTCCTCCTTGACCTTGTTCCTCCTCCTCCTTCTCCTCCTCCTCCTCCTCCTCCTCCTCCTCTACCTCCTCCTTTCTCCTCCTCCTCACTCCCCCTCCTCCCTCCAGATCTCCCCCTCCTCCTCCTCCTCCTCCTCCTCCTCCTCCTCCTCCTCTCATCTCATCTCATCTCATCCCATCCCATCTCATCTCATCTCATCTCATATCATCTCATCTCATCTCATCTCATCATCATCATCATCATCATCATCAGCAGCATCAGCAGCATCAGCATCAGCATCAGCATCAGCATCAGCATCAGCATCAGCATCAGCATCACGCATCATCATCATCATCATCATCATCATCATCATCATCATCATCATCATCATCATCATCATCATCATCATCATCATCATCATCATCATCATCATCATCATCATC